CTACTGGGTTTATCTTACTATTCTTTAACACACAGTTCAACTCTACTGGGTTTATATTATTATTCTTTAACACACTGTTCAACTCTACTGGGTTTATATTACTATTATTTAACACACAGTTCATCCTTATTAGATGTATATTAGTGACCTACAACACACGGTCTACCGTTTACTAGGATAATACAAATATTTTAACACACACGGTTCGTCCTTTCTAGGTTTATACTAGAAACCTTTAATACGCGATTCGTCCTTTCTAGGTTTATACTAGAAACCTTTAATACGCGGTTCATCCTTTCTCGGTTTTACCAGTATTTTTCAATACGCAGTTCATCCTTATTAAAGTCTACCCCACGTGATAAGTTTGATTTAAGGATTGTTTGTTGTTCTCTTATATATAAAATATAAATAAAATTTATATTATGTTTACTAACTTTCGCTCTCAAAACCTTTTATATCATGATTGATTTCACGTGGAAATTTCTTAATTTTGTTATTAGGTTATAATGTTCATTGAATTATTGGATGGTTTTGAGCCAGTGTTAAATTTGCGTGCATTTGAAAAACTCGACCAGCCAATTTATTGAGGGTGAACTAACTATACATTGGGTTTGTTATTTCAACTAATTTTAATATGCTTGTATTCGTGGCATCTAACAACAACAGAAGGTGTACCACAGTCACGTGATGAAATGAGGGGAACGCATACTCCTATTGAAGATTGTATTTTGCTCCATGAATCTAAGTTTAAAGGTCACACAAAACTACTAGAAACATTGTGAAGCAGGTTATACATGTGAATTCTTTGTATGCACGAGTTTGTAGAACCTCTCGACATATGGCTGGGTCTTTAACTTTTCAGTTTCAATTGCTTTTATCACCCGATGAATCTTTTTAAATGTGAATCCTCCCAATTGCTTTTATCACCCGATGAATCTTTTCAAATGTGAATCCTCCCAATTGCTTTTATCCTCCGATGAATCTTTTTAAATGTGAATCCTCCCAATTGCTTTTATCACCCGATGAATCTTTTTAAATGTGAATCCTCCCAATTGCTTTTATCATCCGATGAATCTTTTCAAATGTGAATCCTCCCAATTGCTTTTATCATCCGATGAA